AAACCCTAAACCCTAAACCCTAAACCCCAAACCCTAAACCCTAAACCCCAAAACCTGAACCCCTAAACCCTAAACCCCAAACCCTAAACCCTAAACCCTAAACCCCAAAACCCCAAAACCCCAAACCCTGGACATCTCCCTCCCTTTTCACCGCCCGCTCGCCTTGGCCTCGATCGCGACCGGCTCCGCAGCGGCCAAGGACTGGCCCAGACGGCCGTTTTGGGGTTTAGGGCTTAGGGTCAGGGGTTTAGAGTTTTGGGGCTTAGGGCTTGGGGTTAGGAGTTTAGAGTTTTGGGGCTTAGGGCTTGGGGTTAGGAGTTTAGAGTTTTGGGGTTTAGGGCTTGGGGTTAGGGGGATAGAGTTTTGGGGTTAGGGGTTTAGGGTTTAGGGGTTTAGAGTTGTGGGGATTGGGGTTTAGGGTTAGGGGTTTAGAGTTTTGGGGTTCAAGGCCCTGATTTCTTGCCAAGCTTAAAGGTTTCTGGCTCTTGATTCGTGAGGTTGGGCAGTTTAGGCAGGAGGGGCTGCATGCTTCGTGCAATCCATCCACCTTGAACCAACTTACACCAAGGGTTTAGGGTCTAGGGTTTAGGGTTTAGGGTTTAGGGACTCTAGATGACCTCCACTTAAACATTTAGTCATTGTCACTGCAAGGGACCTGCTTGAGCTTCATGGACCAGGGAGCAACCCGGAAGCAGTGTTCTTGAAGTCCAAAGGATCAGCCCGCAAAGCCTTGAAACCTAATGTAGGAACCTTAGTCATTTGAATAGGGTTTTGGTATCCCTTAAAGTGTACCCATAATTAGGAATCATTAGAATAGGGTCTTGGTATACCTTAAAGTGAACTTATAATCAGGAGGCCGAAGGCATAATATTGGTAATTATTACACAGCTCCCTAAACCCTAAACCCTAAACCCTAAACCCTAAACCCTAAACCCTAAATCCTAAACCCTAAACCCTAAACCCTAAACCCTAAACGCTGGCCTTTCCATCCGTCACGACCGGCTCCGCTGGTGGAGGCATCTGCCCAGGAATGGGGCTCCTGGAGACCCAACCGACCTGGCAAATGCCAGGGTTTAGGGTTTAGGCTTCCTGGCGCAGGATTAGGGTTTAGGGTTTAGGGTTTAGGGGTTTAGGGTTTTAGGCTTCCTGACACAGGTTTAGGGTTCAGGGTTTTAGGCTTCCTAACACAGGTTTAGGGTTTAGGGGTTTAGGGTTTTAGGCTTCCTGGCGCAGGATTAGGGTTTAGGGTTTAGGGGTTTAGGGTTTTAGGCTTCCTGACACAGGTTTAGGGTTCAGGGTTTTAGGCTTCCTAACACAGGTTTAGGGTCTAGGGGTTTAGGGTTGTAGGCTTCCTGGCGCAGGATTAGGGTTTAGGGTTTAGGTGTTTAGGGTTTTAGGCTTCCTGACACAGGTTTAGGGTTCAGGGTTTTAGGCTTCCTAACACAGGTTTAGGGTCTAGGGGTTTAGGGTTTTAGGCTTCCTGGCGCAGGATTAGGGTTTAGGGTTTAGGGTTTTAGGCTTCGTGGCGCAGGATTAGGGTTTAGGGGTTTAGGGTTTTAGGCTTCCTGGCGCAGGATTAGGGTTTAGGGGTTTAGGGTTTCAGGCTTCCTGACACAGGTTGAGGGTTTAGGGGTTTAGGGTTTAGGCTTCCTGGCACAGGTTTAGGGTTTTTTTTAAAGTGCAGGTTTAGGGTTTAGGGGTTTAGGGTTTAGGGTTTAGGCTTCCTGACACAGGTTTAGGGTTTAGGGGTTTAGGGTTTGGGGTTTGATTCCTGACGCAGGTTTAGGCTTGAGGGTTTAGGGTTTAGGGTTTAGGCTTCCTGACACAGGTTTAGGGTTTAGGGGTTTAGGGCTTAGGGTTTGGGGTTTATTCCTGACGCAGGTTTAGGCTTGAGGGTTTAGGGTTTAGGGTTTAGGCTTCCTGACACAGGTTTAGGGTTTAGGGTTTACGCTTCCTGACGCAGGTTTGAGGTTTAGGGGTTTAGGGTTTAGGCTTCCTGACACAGGTTTAGGGTTTAGGGGTGCCGCAGCCCTGACGTGTCAGCAAGTTTAGGATACCTTCCCTAAGCCCTATATAAACCCCCCTCAGGAATGGAAGGATTACCATCGACTCGGACGTGCTGCTTTGAAGTGAGTAGCACGCGAGAAAGTTGCCTCAACTCAAACGTTCGCGAACTCATGGTCCCGGGTTAAGACTCATGGAGCTGCACCCAAGAGAATATCCACCTGCGCACCCTCCACGGAACTAGCAGTCCGAACGCCACAGTGTTTGACCCCATGCCCCTGGTGAACATCCCTTGATAGTAGTAGCATTAGCATTAGCATTAGCATTAGCATTAGCATTAGCATTAGCATTAGCATTAGCATTAGCATTAGCATTAGCATTAGCATTAGCATTAGCAGTAGCAGTAGCAGTAGCAGTAGCAGTAGCAGTAGCAG